AATTTGCAAAACTATACATATATGAATTTATGCTATAGGTGATGATAATTTAAAATGAATTTGCTGTAAGTTTCCAAACATATCCTATGTCAGAAAAATAGCTAGAATTGGAGCAAGGAAACTTACAAATATGTAAATCTCCACGGGCAGCCTAAGTTTCTGAAGTGCACTGTGGGCTGAATTTACTACTAGGCATGGCGGAGCAGATTTTCATATGTCCCCATCTTCTTTTGTTTTTAGTTCACAGGGGAGGTGATGAGAGTTCACCAATTAATCATGAGTAAAACAGACAGAGGTTTTCTGATTCGTATTCCCACTGCAGTAAATTGAAAAATTAGGAGTGAAGAGGCTTTATGAGACCCATGATGATTTTAATTGAGAGTCACTGCCTGACCCAGATAGTGCTTTGTGTATAAACAGTTGGACAAATTTTGAAAGCAACCCAAAAGCAACCCTCAGGCAGCTAACTTTGAAATTTGGAGGTTCAGTGAAACCACAGAACTATCATTCTCAACTAGGAACATATTTGCCTCCTGGGGTATTTTTAATTGTCACAACTTGCAGGGGTATGGTGAGGCTTTGGCAGGGGGGGTGGTGGTGGTGAATCTAATATTGGCATCTAGCGTACAGAGACCAAAGATGCTGCCTAAAATACACACAAAGCCTCTATATCAACCAACTCTCCAGCTTCAAATGTCAGGGAAAAACTCTGCTATAGAACAAGGTACTGTAAAAGCAGGTATAATTATGATGATATATGAAAGGGAAGAATTGTATTCACTATTTTGTAGATTTTGGGCAATACTGTGCAAGAATTTATTGATGATGCATTAGAGTTTTCTTTATGATATAATAAATTTTAATAAAGACAAAGAATATTCAGACAATAACTAACTAGTCAACAGTTACAGAGAAGGTTGTAGTTGATAGGTACAGCAGAATCAACTGCCTGAATTACAATTTCTTTACATTAAGATAGTTTCTAAAATTGTTGATGTTAGTTTTTTCTATTTCTAAATAGATGCCAACCAATGCTAGAGTCAGTATATTTGCCTGGGGTGTTTTCATCCTTAAATTTATTTCTGGCATGTTCCACAAACACTCATGAATCATTTGATTTATCATTTTAAAATTAAAATAAGGAAATTTGCTCATTTTTATGCTTCTGCTACTCAATATATACCATTTATCATTTATTTCTTCATTTCCCCTAACATATGTCTTTCAATTTCCAATACTGTGGTAAAATTAGCTAAAACTTTTATGAGAAATTTATTCTCAGAAGGTAAAAGTTGCATGAAGTATTTTGTGTGGAAAGAAATTTGACTTGTTTACTAAGAGAATCCACTATAAATGAATTAGGAAAACTTTAACTGATTCATTCAAAGTAAAAATAGATGATAAATGGCATGTAGATAAGTTTTACATATAAAAAGATTTAGACCTGAAATAAGTTAACACTTCTTGAGAGTAGAGGAATTTACAGGTAAATAGGAACCACAGAGGGCAGGTAGACATGGAGGATCTTTCTTTTTCTCTTTTTCTTGCTTTTAATTTCATAGGAAATAAATTAATAAATAACAAAGATTGAAAAACCATAAACTGATCACGAAATGAAAAACTAGAAGATTCCATCTGTTGTCCAACTTAGCCCAAGAATCCTAGACCCCTTTGTGAATTTTGAAGTAAAGCTATTACTAAATGTAACTTACACAACATCAAAGAAATCCAGTTGAGCTTGTGTTAAGTGCTTAAGGAAAAATTAAACATTCATGGAAACAAATTCTAGTGCAGTTTTTATTTTATGTTAACTTACCACTTGCATTTACTTAAAAATTAAAAAAAAATTTTTTTTGTCCTGAGAAAGTTTGAGGAAAAAGTAAAACAAAGAATCTAAAATGCAAAATAAGAGGGAGTACCTTTCATTATTGCATAGTCTAATGCATGCTTTTTTCTTTTATTTTAAAAAGCAAAACAGAAAAAGGAAGGAAATGATACAGAATTTCAAAAAAGGTAGGAAATTAACACTATTAACACTAGTTAATATAATGCATATTGTTATCTTAGAAGTAGTTGCTCGGATTACAAGACCTAGGCATAAAAAATGATCAAACAATGAGAGCACAAACTGTTCTTTTTGATGAACTAACAGATTAGTAGTATAGGATAATCTTGAGGCTTTTATAGGTAAATAGAGGCAACTTGAGACCACACTTATAATTGAAATAAATCAAACTCACATTTATAAATATCATATTATCTTCCTAGTGTAAAAACCTAATAAAAACAAAAAACTAAAAGAGTACTCAGATCCAAAATGTACAATAGATATTGTAATAATGAAAGAGAAAGAAAGTGCCCAAAAGGAAAGAACAGCTGGGATGGGGAAAGGAGAAAGGGAAGAAAGGAAAGATTATACGTATGTAGGTGTACACAGAGAAGTGTACGTACGCTTATCTATGCATTCCTGACACCATGCTACGTGCTATTCCTACTTATTCAAATAGTGTCACCCTCAAACACAGCCTTCTCTCCTTTGATTTGTGATGCTGGGAAACAAGAAACACGAAGCAGAAGGCAGAAGAAGACACTTGATTCTTTACATGATTTTGCTCTTTCTGGAAATGTGACTTCAAGAATAGACATATTTTTCCAGTTTTATTTTTTTCCCCCTCTTCATTCCCAGAACCAGATGTACTGTGGCCTCGGAGGTTTACCTTCCTTACAGATCTGAGTCCCACTGATGAAGCGTTTCCTCCAAACTCCAAATCCTAATAACCCCAACTTTTCCATTCCATGGCCCCTGGGTGGTAGTGCTTTCCTGCAGTGACTGTTTCTATGTTATTTCTGTTTCCTTTTTATTTTCTCAGCTCACTTATCACCTTTTAAAACAATTCCTTACATTAATTCTGGTAAGATGATTTGATTTGTTTTCTTAATTAGCTGCTGGTGGATGCCAACATTCACATAAATTTTGTCCATTAAGTAAAATGAGCAAACTGAAGTGCGGGAGGTTTGTAACATGCCTGCTATTTCATAGCTAGCAGGAATGTGGGTCGACATGCACAGTCTTTGCTAATATTTCAGAAAGTATTGGAGAAATAGAAGGGAAACTGTGCTGCCAAGTTTTAAAAAAGTAATTTAGTGATACATAAATAAAGATTCTATTCATCTCTCCTCTGCTCCCTCTTTTTCTCCCTAGCTTTCTCCATTTACCTATGTATAGATTTTGGGTTTTTTTTAATCCCTTCCAAATCACAACTACTAAGATAACAAAAGTGGTATTACAACAGATGTATGAATCCATCAGGATAAAAAAAAAAGATAGCACATTAGAAATACTAAGAAAACTGTGTAAGTTAGAGGACAAAGAGTAGTTGATAAAAAAAGATTTTGGAATGAATGAGATTTAGAAAAATGGGACAATTATAAACAGCTAAGTTAGGCAGAAATATTATAGGCAGTCAAAGAGGGCTAGCTTCAAAGGAGTGAGTACAGAGGATGAAAATACATTATAACTCCAGCTGGAGTCAAATCCACTGAAGTCCAGGCCTTGAGACAAAGACTGAATGACCAGGCCTACACACTTCTCAAAGAATGGGGGATAAGCAGTAGACTACCTTAGTATTACCTAGTCCAAAAAGTCGATACACATCAGTCAATCAGGTGGGTGACCAGGACCTCTTGATTCATTTTTTCCTAAAGAGGTCCTTGTTCTTTCTTTGTATACTTGCTATGTGACCTGCTCTCCCACTGGATCAATATTACCTAAGTGGCTATTCTTGTAATCTTATTAGTTGATCGCAATTTTTTCCCACATTATACCCCCTTTGTGATTTTGTATCCACCTTGTAATTTTGCCTTATGAAACTTCCTCTGTGAAGAGGAGTCTGCAGCAATCCATTTTTGGATCCACTCCTGTCTCTCAAGAGCCATCACTATCTTTCAAATAATTTCCTACTTTGAACATCCCTCGTTCCTTAGAATTCATTCTTCAATACTGGGGCACAGGCTGCAGATCTGACATCTTGCATGTTGGGAGTTACAAGCACTTTCCCTGTATCAAGATGAGCTGGTCTTCTACAAGACACTATTTTTCACACATAAATACAGCAAACATGGATGAAGACATGTGGAGATGTGGGAGACTTTATTACTAATAACTTTCACATTCTCTAGGAAGACACAAAGATAAGAAAAAAGGTTTGAAAGAAAAATGTGTTAATCACTACATGGAGAACAGAAACAGAAATTACTTCCCCCATTTTCTTCTACTATATATTTTTGTTATATAAAACAAAGACTCATTCCTCAATTCCATATAATACAGACCTGATAGTATATAATTTTATAAAATTAGTTGTCAACATTAGAAAGCTTAGGAGCTTCCAATTTTAAAACCATAAATCCTATTAAAGGCTTCTTGAAAGACTACATAATCTTACAATGCTGGACATAAATTTTAGAATGTAGTCAAGTGTTAGGCAGTTTTTTAAGATAGGTTAGATATTCCCCAACTTCCCTCAATAATTTATGCTACCTTCCTCACCTATGTAGTCACTTGACACTTCGAAAAGTTACCCGTCTCTTGACTGTTACTAAGTTATCTGTGTAAAATTGAAGGACAAATAGAAAACATATTACCTTTGTTTTTCAGAAAAGGAATAAAAGGCATCACAGAGCCCCATCCCTTTACTCTTATTTATGGTTTGAAAGCTTTAGGTGAAAATGCCATTTTTAAAATAATTCCTGATTGGATGAATGCCTTCAATAATTGGTACTGAAACTTCCAACATCACACAAATCCATTCTCATCAACTCCTCAGGCAAAGTAAAACCGTGTCACACAGAAATTTCCTCTGGCATTTGTGAAAGATCAAACCAATTGGAGGTAACTGACACTTCCAGATTTGCTTAGGAACAGTAATTTATCAAGTTCAAGTATCTGATATAAGGTTCAGTGTAGCATAAACTGATTATAAAATACAAGTCCAAAGAGATGTCATAAGTTCTTTTTATTTGAATAATAGTAATTATAGATGTACACGAGTGATAACTCTTGTTTTCAAGAAACAGTTCTTATACATTGACTCATTAATTTACAGTTCATTTTTATGATACAGCCCAATGAATATTAACACTGTGAGAAAAGTTGATCAAGGACACTATACTTCACAAGAACCAATTGAGAAAAACACTAGCTGCAGTCTTGTAAATTTATAACTAGTGAAATCATTCAAATATAATTAGGAGTTGACTATTAATGTAAGACTAAGCAATGACTATTAGACAGCCTGCACCAGGATAACAACTCCCCCACCCCACAAAAAGACTCAAATTAATTAAGAGAAAGTTTACCTAACATGTCAGTAGCTATCTTGACCTTTTCCATGCTAGCCATTTCTGGCATGTAGATCTCAAAGTTTTTGTGAGTGATATTGTTTTTTAATGAAACGACTTCAGTCCTGGGAGGAAGCTCATAAGGTTTAGTTTGCTTGTGCAACTTTTCTTCTCTTAGCTTCATAATTTCCTGGAAATGTTTTTGCTCCTGTAACTCTTTATCTTTCTGTTCTTTGGCTTCACATATTGCATCTTCTTTTTGCCGGATTTCCAGTTCTTTCTGCCACTGTTACAGAGAAAATATTTCACTATGCATAGGATTTCTGATGAAAATATATATGTTTAGCTTCTTAAAATGAAGATTCTTATATCCAATTTTCTCCTTAATCTCTTTATAGATATTCTTCAGGAATCTTATATACTCTATCACAGTAGAAAAGTGCATGAGTCATGTATTAGAACATATTCTAACCCAATGAAAAAAGAATTTCTTCAATATTTTTAAACAAAATAAGTCACTCACAAGAAAATGTAACAAATTTGCATTTCTATATCCCAAACGTTTTAACTTTCTTCATCAATATTGATATTTATATGACAGCATGGCTCATAAAATGCAATACCAAGCTAAAGCAAAACAAAAATGTACAGAAAATATAAATTAAAATAAAGGCAAAAATTGTGGTATTATTCCACATGAGAACAAAAACTAAATTAAAAACTAAGCAAATGCTCGTTCTCCCAAACACAGCAATAATACCTTCAAGGGATGTATCTTAAAAGATCACATTAATTAATAACAACAATAGTATAGTTGATGTCAAGAACCCTAGGAATCAACAGTCAGTGTTGGAAGTGATGATGGTGACAAGACAAATGCTATCATGAGAAACCTTTTCCCCTTTGTAAAACATTTCATGAAGGAAATAGTTCAAAGAAATGATAGATCCTCTTTAGGTTGCGTAAAAGATTAAGGAGAATGACTCCACATAACCACTGCAAATTCTTTAGGACATTGTTGACACTGCTCTTTCTGTCACCTCAAAACAGTTGGTGCATACATACAAGTGAAGACTAAGCTACGCAACCAACGAAATATAAGTTATAGATTGTTATATGAATGATATTGTGAATCAAGACTATTTTGCTATTTGAGTTGTATGCATAAAAATAAACAGAACTAAACCTTAGAATTCATAACCTGTGCATCCTTGAAGAAAGTGATTGTATAAAGGGTCTAAATACTAAAGAAAAAAAGATTAAAATCCAAAGCACAATATCACACACACTTAATATATAATCTCAGTTAAATTTTAATGACAGAAGAAATATAGTTACCAGCTTGTATTAACATTCCATCTGCACACAGTTATTAGTCACATAATTGGTTTCTCAGAAACCATTTTTGCATGAAATATAAAGAAAATTGAGATAAGACAGCCAAAAAATTCAGGCACAGGCAAATATTCATTATTGAGCTTAGTCCACAGTTCTATGATTCTCTAGAATCTCACACAGATTTTTATTAGTAAACTATATCATAATCTAATAATTTTTAAAACCATAAATTTTATATGGCAGTACAAAAGTAGTAGTTGATATAACCATGATAATATCTACAAAAACAATTAATGTACCTTATATGATTTTATTTTAAAGACAATAAAACAAAACAGAACAGAACAATGCAAGAACAGGAAATCAATAGTGGCTATCATAATGTCTCTTGTTTTCTTCAAAATAGTTGCCCATTAGCATAAAAAACAAAAGGAGTTAATGGAATCTAAAAACAAAATATGAGAGATTTAAGTGTACCTTGTACTTTGTCTAGTATTGTGAAAAGTCAACAGAGGATTAAATCTTAAAAACTGTCAGTAAAATAGTTTCTCATTTTTCCAAATCAAATTGGTTTATAAATGCATTAAAACATATGAAAGCAGTCAAGAAGAAGTATCATATTATTACTGTGCAGGAGACAGCTTTTCTTCTTTTCACCTGTCCTTGGAAATTAGCATGCCTGCAATTCAAGATAACATCAAAATCCTTTACAATGGCTAGGAAAAAACAAACTATTTTTTTATTTTAGTTGAACATGATGTGTTCAATTTAGGTAAATCATTGCATTGTCTCAACTTTCCCTTGCCATTGCAGTAAGTGGAAAATGAAAATACTCGAAGTATTTTATAATACTTCATTATATATAATGAAGGGATATAAAGGCATCATTTATTTCTGTATTCATCACCTTTATTCATTGATTCATTCACCATGCTATGGATTATCACCAAAGTGCAAGGTACCTTATTTCCTGCTGAACAGTGTAGTAACTCTCTTATTCCTTGCATATTACAGCCACTCAAATGTAGTCAGTTAGCTCAGAGGGAGAATTATACAAGTAACTTTTGGAATGAGTTCTTATTTCTCATCAATACTATAGGCCCCTGTTCTGTTCTCCAATTTTGGTTAAGGATCATAAACTAAGAATCTGATAATCTATGAAAAAGCAAAATAGTAAATGGATGAGAAGTCTACAAATCTGGTTTTATGCACAGACTCAGTCATGCATACTAACCTCAAAACTTTGAGCAAGCACCTGAATTATAAACCACTGTGTTATTCTTGTGGGTAAATGTTTTACAGGATTGTCATGAGCATTAAATCAAATAATGTGAAAATATTTTGCAAAATATAAATACAAAGAACTACTTCTTTATTCATTTGAAAGCAAATGGTAAATATATGACCATAAACCTTCTCAAATAAAAAACTACAGACTATTTTATTAAGCTACATATCAATTTAGAGCTTATAAAGTTTTCAAGCACATTTTCAGACAGAATTCTTTTCCTTTTAGCTACAGTAGAGGCAGCCCCATGGTAGTGATTACCAGATAATGCATATAACTTTGGAAAGAAAAGGTAATGTCACTAGTCTCTTTTCTCTCTTTCAGAATATTTCCCTGTCTTGTTAAATAGCATTAACCATTTCAAATTCACTCAAAGATTTATGTGTAAATTCTACATATAGATTTGTATTAAAATCAAAACAACATATATATTCATAGTATATAAAATATATAATGTTTGTGTGTTGTTACGTATTGTAATCTATTCAAGATCATTTTGTTGAAGTAAATAATTAAATACAGAAATTTAAAGTTATGAAGCATTAGACATTTTTGAGAACTCCCTGTGTGTATAATATATAGCTTTGACAAACACTTTATTAGTGGCTAGTAGAACAATATTATAGCTCCCAATTACTTAAGATACCAGTCAGTTTCTAACTCCAATACTTATAACTATTGTTAGAGCGGCTTAACTATTAGCCAAGTAGAAATAGCTATTCAATGTGATCAGTAAAGGAGACAGTCCTCTATTTTTTTCTTAAAAGATAACTAAAAGTGTGAAAAATTAAAATTTGATAGATAATATTGAGCTACTTGTAATAAAATTAATTTAAACACATTTATGTGTTATTAAATCCATGTCATTTGAAGAAAAATACAGTCTTTCTCTCTTAGTGTAGGTCAATGGCTTAAAAGTAGACACAGAATGATTAGTATTAGATAAGAAACTATCAACAAAATATAGCAGAATGGATTAAAGTGTCTTATGTGAATAGTACTAAATTATCATTGCTTGTTTTACTCATACCAAACCAAAGTGATTAAAATTCTTTCTGATTGTCAAGGGTAAAGAATGGCCACTGAAAACTGAGTCCAAAAGTTTTTTGTTTCATTATTAGCACTGCACTGCAGAAGAAATCAGTGTGCAGTGTTCAGTCTCAGATTCTTGTCACAAGAAATGAGTGCTAATTCAGGAAACGGGATTAGGCTGGTAGTGCAGGAATGACAGAAGGCCAAGTTTTCTGTAATCCACTGAAGGCACTGAGTGGTAGAGAATCTCGTACATCTCATTATGTAAAACAGAGTCAGATATAATTAAGTTTGGCAATGATCAATTAAGATTCTACTTTAAATGCTGCATGCTAATATTTTAGTCCAAAAACTACATTTTACAATCCCAACATGCATTCAAAGAACAAAGCTTTTGAAGTTAATTTAAGAAAGTCATTCTTACATGATGGTCAATAATTTTTGCCAATTCTTTATCCGCTTTGCTGAAGAAATCTGGGTATGGAAACATGGGAAGTTCTGAGAGAGAAGGATTTTCCCTTCAAAAGAGCACAAAAACAGATCCAAAGTCAGGTATATATACAATTACGCTTTTTTCTCCTAGAAACATATATTTATAAATCACAATTCATTATTATTTTCACTCTACATGATTAACATGAAGTACTTACATGGTGTAGACTGCTGAATGTAGATTTTAGCTTCTGTAAGCTGTTATCTTGGGTTACCAGTACCAATGTTTGAGGGTAGAGTGTTACCCTCTATAACAGGAAAACTAGAAAATTATAAAAAGGTATTCTTTGCAGAGTGGATGTAAATACTAAAGCTGGTCAGTAGCAAAGGAGATGTTAAGGATATGAAGGATTTATGGAGCCGTGAAGCTGACAAGGCCTACTGAGGATCTTGAGTGTCTATCCACATACTCAGCCCTACTAATCTGGAAGTTCTGATGGAAGCCTAAAGCCAAGAATTTGATCTAAAATATGCTGGAAAAGATGTGATTCAATACTTCTCATAATACTCAGGGTGAGATCGCGGTAGCTTACCAATACCTTGATGAAAGCTCTGGCAGCACAAAGCTAGCCCCCAAGCTAAGGGAGATTTAGCCCCAAGCTAAGGGAAATTAGCCACATAGTAACTGTGGTGTTAAAGCTATTTAAAGAAATGGTGCATATTCAGAAATTTGTGAAACAAAAATACATAGCAGAGGATGGGTTTTGAAAGAGAGAATCTGAAGGAAAGGCCCACGGAGAAATCGATCTTGAAATTGTACCATATTCAAAAAAAGTCTGATCAATCTTTTGGACTAGAATGTGTAACACCGAATTTTGTTCAAGTTGTTAATTATGCCGGTACATTCTTGACCCTTTTCCCATGCCCTCTTTGTGGCACTACGTCCTATTGCTCTACACTGTGCTCTGAGCTTACCAGACTTCCATCCACCTCTAACCTAACCATCATCTCTCATGTGGATGAAGGTCTGTGTTTTGCAGTCCCTGTATCTACCACTGCTTGCTTAGTTTAGCCTTATCTCCACATTGGAGCCAGAATGTTTTTCTCCATAATCTTCGACCTCAATATTTCCTCATTCACTTTAGGATTAAGATCACATTTGACAATAACCTTGCAGTGCATGTTAAAAATAGCTTATCGTGGTTTCTCTCAAGTCATTTCTCTTCCCTTTTGGCCTAGATGTAAGTGTCTTTGGTACACAGGCTTTGTAATTGCTGCGGTGTAGCTTGTTCTGCCTCACTATTGCTTGCCAGCATGTGCTTCCAGTCTTTCTCTGACTCTTCTTCCCACACCCTCCAAATAAGTTTCAGGGGTGGCCAATGTCTATTTATCTTTCGTTTTCAGGGTATAGGCTATGAGATTCAAAACTCCCATAGCTTGGAATCTACCATCAGCCTTTCCTTGATCATAATTCAGCCACAAGTTCACATTTATCATGTACCTGTATTGGTTTTATGTTTTCCTGATTAGACCAGGGGCTACATGATCATGGAGACTTTTACTCCACACAGTGCCACAGACACTCAGTGAATGCTCACATGTTGATGTATGCATGAAAGCTACAACATGCTTTAATCTACTTTAGTTTCCAAGCAGTCATGGAGAGTCTATCACACTGATGCCAAAACAGTAGTAATTACTAGAGCAAGATTACAGCAACCTCCGGAAAAAAGCTACAGAGCAGAGTCAACAGCAGGAGTTTAAAGAAAAAAAAAAAAAAAACAAAAAAAAAAACCAATCTGAAGTGACAGGATGCCAGAGAAAATAGAGCCTCTCTCAACAACCTATAATCTTCACAATTACTGTGAGTGGAATAATGTGAGTTTCTCTTACCAGTCATTAAGACATTAAAGAAAAACGTGTCCATAGAAAGCTTGGGAATTGAAAGACATACAAGGGTTGACCTTTGGGTTAATTTATTCATCCTATGAAATTTGGGCATTTCTAATACTCATAGAATTAAACTAAATGCTGTAAAAAAGACAAAGAAGATAGATATTAAAATAATTTAAAGGTTAAATGTATTCAAGCAAGTTACCTTGAAAAGACAACATGAGACACAAAAGTGTAAACATTCAGTGATACAAACTGAAAAAGTGTTTTAAGAATGGTTAAGCACATTCTTTTGTTTTTTTAATTTTCATTTTTTGTTAGTGCATGTTTGCAGTGCACTGCGATTATATTACTTGTGGGGAGTTGCTACTTGCACAAGTGAACATCCCTCCCATCTCGTCACTCTCCCCTCCTTCTACCTCTTGGATTTTATCCTTATAGGAATTAATTCCAGCTCCTCTTGGTAAAAAATCTTTGTTAACTGTACTTACAGTTATTCTCTTGATACTATTATTTGGCACATGCATACTTAATTGCTTCTTTGCCTTTGTCTTCTCTAGACTTAAAGCTGTATACCTACCCAAGATAAAAATGCCTATCTACTGAGGGCCATTAGATAGAACCTCTGCAGAGTATCCCGGACTGCCGTTCAACAGCTACACCTTCTTTCAGCCTAAAGAAACCAAATTTGTCATCGCCCATTTTCCATTCATGGCAATTCAGGTATGTCTTCAGAAGGGGGAATGATACAGGTAGCTGAGTTATATTTAGAAATATTATAGGCAGTCAGACAAGGCTAGGCACTCAAAGGGGCCAGCACAGAAGACCAGATGTCTTAAGACTTTGAAGGAGACAGACACCTCCTGCTGTGGGCCATGTCTCAAGACAAAAGACAAAACACAATGGAACCACCTCCCAAGTATTGATATTTTAAATAGGTATGGATCATCTGAGGAAGCAAGGAGTCACCATCCCAACCCCTTACAGAAAGTCACCGGTGGGTAAGAATGCCTGCTTTCTATGTGGCTCACTTCCCCCTTTGTCCTTGATTTTGTCAGTTTCGCCTGAGTAATTAATCTTATTGGTTGAGTATAGTTCTGTCCATACACATTCCCATGTTTTCTCTATCTTGGACCTATCTCACCTCATGATTTTAAATTCCTTGGAAAAGACAGTCTTTGGCAACCCACTTGGGACTCCTGCCTCTCAGAATTTTTCTTTCTCTCAATAAATATATTCTGCTCTTAGCCTCCGTTGTTCTTAAAATTCATTCTTCAGTTTTAGAGAACATGAACTCGTACTGGACATATAGAAGGCTGGAAGTTTCACTCCCCTACATCAATTATCGGAAAAATGAGTGGAGGACAAAAGAATTTTGATGAATCTTAAACATGATATTGTTTTGATCTCTTACGTTAAATGTGAAGTGGAAAAACACTTCCAGAAAGATAGTATGTGAGATTCTGGCAGGGCAACTTCCTACCTAAGCTCTAAAGGAATCCATTCTTGATTCTCTCTTAGCTTCTGATGGCTCTTGGCAATCCTTGGTGTTCCTAAACTGTGAATAATTTGCTTTCACCTCTGTCTCTGTATTCACATGGTCTTTTGCTTCTGTGACTCTATGTCTTCTCCTTTTTGGACAGGGATACTGTCATTGGATTTAATGTCAACATATCCAAGATGGCCTTAGCACTCACCTAGGTTTGACCAAACTTTAGACAATTGTCCTTTTGGCTCCCTTAAAAAATTTCCTTTAGAAAACTTTCCCTTGTAAATTCTCTCTCAGCCCTTTCAAATGTAAATCTCCTCACAGGCTCCAGGGCCTGGAAGACCTGGAGCCAGGGCCTGGAGTTACTTATTTGAATACAACCATCAGGGAAGAGAACCTCAATACCTTTTATCTGTGGGAAGTCCAGGAGCCTAACCTAGGGAAATGATAATTAGCAAACACATCACAGTGACCTAGCCACACTGACCAATCACTCTCTCTGTTGTCTTCTTCTTTCCCATTAGTTCACCACGATCATTAAAAAGATATGCATACTCCAAGTTTCCCCCCAAATCTCCAACATTTTATAGTACTCACATGCACTAGTAAAAATGAAAATTAAAAAAAAGTTCTCCAGGCTTTTGTTTCCAGGGGGCTAAATCAAACTTCTCATCTTTATTTCACCAGTAAAATGTTCTCTGCTGGTTTAGTTTATCTAGTGCAGTGTTTCTTTGACACTTTCTAATGCAGAGATTATCTTATCTTGAAATCCATGCCTTAATAAAATCTGTCAAGAGCTTTTCCTGAATAATTCACAGGTATAGGAGATCAAGATTTGGATGGATCTTTGGGGAACCAAACTCAACCTACTATAGATAATAAAATGGTAACAAATACTTGAAGAAGTCAGACAATTCATTTCCAGAGAAATAAGTCATCTGGCATGGGTGGAACCCAGAACACTTTTAAGAAAAGAAGAGGTAGCTCATTGATTTATTTATTCATTCATTTAATCAAACATTTAACCTAAGAAGAATACTATTATAAGGAAGGTGAAACAAACATAAAAAGAAAACCTTAGATAATGCCCACAAGAAAAGTGAAATCCATACATGGGAAGACATAACCAAAATCTACAGTGCCCTAAAACACCTGCTGTAAAATAGTAAAACAGAGTTCTCTGGAATGCAGAGGTGGGTAGCTCTGGCTGTGAACTGCATCTGAGGAGGATTCTTAAACTGAGATAAGGAACCTAACCCATCCTAAACATAGACTAGGTACACTGATATTTAATATTTCAGATATATCAGTAAAGACTGTGGAAAGGTTTATTAGGCAGAAATTTTAGTACACATCCAGAGACTGTGGGCCATTGAGAGACAGGTGCATCATTTTCAGGAACAGGGAACATTTTTACTTGTCTTAAAGGGGAGGATATTCTTAGCAAAGGTGGCCCCGCTCCTCCAGGTGAATGACAGTCCATCTTACAGGTACAGGCCCAGGTTTTTGTGATTTTTGTTATTTGGGTAATTTAAACATTCTTTTGATTCTCCTAATCTGCTCCTTTATTGCAGGATAAGGTTGCTGCTCCTTACTTTCTCAGTTAAGCCAATTTATAGGTTTTCAGTATTCTTGAGGAATTTGGGCTGTCAGTTATGGAAGGAAAGGAGCCTAAAGGTAACCAAAGGAACGTTGATATGGATT